ACACACTCTTATAAACTTTACATCTATTTTAGCAATACTAACACACAGGTAAGACAGACTGATTCCAGTGGGCTTCTTGCCATGAGGACTGTCAGCAGTTAGGTGGGCGATGAGTGTGGCCCATGGGCTATGGGTAAATTAAAGTGTAGTGTTGGATCCTCTTTGGCGTGAGGGGGAAGGGGCTGTAAAATTTCACAAGTGTAGATTGTTTCTATTCAGTGGGCTCAGTGTTTGCTCTGGTGCAGGCAGCTCCTGTGCACGACAGCTCACCTAAAAAACAAGATCTGCCGTAGCAAAAAGAAGGGGATAGGTTCTGTCCTACCATTGTCATGTGCCCTAGGGTATGTCTACACTACCCACCGGATCAGCAGATAGTGATCGATCTATCGGGGATCGATGTATCGCGTCTCGTCTAGACGCGATACATCGATCCCCGAACACGCTCCCCGTCGACTCCGGAACTCCTCTCCACCAGGGCGAGAGACGGAAGCAGAGTCGACGGGGGGGCGGCAGCTGGTGATCCCGTGCCGCGAGGACGCGAAGTAAGTCAATCTAAGTCGATCTAAGATACATCGACTTCAGCTACGCTATTCTCGTAGCTGAAGTTGCGTATCTTAGGTCGATTCCCTCCCCCCGCCCCCAGTGCAGACCAGGCCCTAGTCTCTCAGTGCTAGCATGCTCTGCACAGGCCGAGCGGGAGTGCGTGTGCGCTCTGGGCATAGCCCAAATGATTGATGTTGTTTTGGTGTGTCCCTTAACTATGTGTTTCAGGCTTTTCAGAGGTTGGAGGTTTGCGTAACTCCAAGCTCTGGAATGGCCTGAGATACCCCCGGGCAGTCTTCACTCGGGATTAACAAAGTTCATTGGTCAGTTTAATTCCTAGATTCTTTTTTAGTGGAAAGGGAATATATTCTGGTGGGCGTTAGTGGTCGTTCGGGCAATTGTCAGCAGTTCAGGCACTGCTGTGGCTAGCTGAAGGCCAAGGATGCTCTGTGATTCCTAAGCGGTCCTCCCCCCTCCCCATCCTGGACACATTTTGAAGGTGGAATTGGGATGATGGCCGCGTCTCAAAATGGTTGGCACATGAAGCTGCTGACAGGGCAGGGAGAGAAATCCCGGATAACGGCCTTTGGCCCAGCACCTTGACAGTTTTATCCACACTGGCTACAGTAACTTTAAACACCTGAGAGAAGACGGGTGTCTCTCTCTCCTTCTCCACAATCCACCATCAGGGTTCCCTCTAATTTTTCCCACCCATGTGCGCAATGAATTTTGTTAGGTGCACCAACATGGCGGTGATGTGGCACACATCACCGCCATATTGGTGCACATAAAATCCATGTGGCAGGTTGGCCAAGGGGTTCGGAGTGTGGGAGAAGGCTCAGGGCTGGGGAAGAGGGTTAGGGTGCGGGGGGTGAGGGCTACGACTGGGGGGTGGGCTCTGGGATGGGGCTGGGGATGAGGGGTGCAGTGGGGCTCCCTGGGGCTACGCTGGGGAGAGAGGACTCCTTTCCCAGCTCTTTCTCCTCGCAGCAGCACCTGTGGGGGAGAGGCACGTTCAGGGCTGGGCTGGGCTGGGGGAGGGGCGCCTGTTCCGTGGCAGGGCCAGGGCTGGGCTGGGTCGGGGCCGGGGCGCCGCGGCTGCGGGAGGGGCATCTCTTCCCGCCGCAGCCCTGAGCGCCCACGCAGCGCTTAATAGGCCGCTCAGCTTAGAGGGAACTTAGCCCACCATCCCCTGCAACGAAGAACTTCCCCCTCCATGATTTCCAGCTTCCCCTTCCCTTCCCATGAAGCCATTAGTGAGCACTTTACAAGCCGCGTGGAGACCTCTGCGGTGGTGCACCCATATCACAGGCAGCAGCTTAATAGAGGGCCAATTGCTTTGTGCCAGGAAGGGAAGCATGCAGCTGGGCCTGGGATCAGCCGGCTAACGGCAGCTGAAACCCCTGCTTGGCTGAACTGGCTGAGTAGCGTTGCCAGGACTGCTCTTAAACCCGGTAGGAGGACTTGGCCCGCGGCTGCTCGATGCTTATGTCTTCAGCTGGGCTTGTTCCTCTGCCGGCCAGTCCAGCCCTGCTCAGTTCCTGACTCCGGCTCTGACTACTAGGCCGGACTACCCCACCTCCTGCTCCATGACTCCTGGCTTATGTTGCCTGAGCTGTACGCCAAGCCAGCCCCTGCCCCTGCCCCCCCCCGCCCCGCGCTGCTCCAACCAGTTCTTCTCATTTGTGCCCCTGGCCCCGCCTATCCCCTCCCCTCCAACTCAGCCCCTTTGCCCCTCCTCAGGCGAGCCTCACCCTGCCGTGTGGGGAGGTGATCTTCCCTTGCGGTGAGTGATGAACTCGGCCTAAAGAAGCAACGTTTGTGCCACCTTCATAAAATCAAGAATAGTAACAACTCGCTCCTAACTAGCACTTTTCACCCGTGGAGCTCAAAGCCTTTTACAAAGCAAATCCGCGTATGCAGCGGCGTGGTCGCTAGGTTGGTCCCAGGATGTGAGAGAGACAAAGTGGGGAAGGGGATCTCTTTTACTGGACCGACTTCTGGTGGGGAGACAAGCTTTCGAGCTTACACAGAGCTCTGCGTCGTCGTACGGAGAGGGTCACAGCTAACTACAAGGGGGAACAGAAGCGTAAGTTAACATGGATTTCAAAGGAGCTTTCAAGGTGAAGAGGCCAGTTAACGCCTCTCCGGTTGTAGAGGGGAAATGAGGGGAAAACAAGAAGTGAGGGGAAAGGGGATGTGGGTTATAGATTGTTGTAATAAGCCGGGGTGGCCAAATCCTGGCTCGTGAGCCGCATGCAGCTCTTGTACCGTTAAAGTGGGGCTCACATAGCTTACCACGGCGCCCCCCTCATTCTCCACCTACCAAGCTGGTGGTGGTGGGGGAGCTCAGGGCTTCTGCCCTGAGGCAGGGTGGAGGGGCTAGGGGCTTCTGCCCAGCAGGGAGGGGAGTCTCGGGGCTTCAGCGGGAGTGGGGCTGAAGCCCCGAGCCCCAGCAGGTGCCTCCCATGGTGCTGAAGCCCCGAGACCCCCCTCCCAACAGGGCAGAAGCCCCTATTCCCACCGCCCTGCTGCAGAGGAGAAGCCCCGAGATTCGGCAGGCGTGCCTGGCTCTCAAACTTCTGAAGATTAGAATCATAGAATATCAGGGTTGGAAGAGACCTCAGGAGGGCATCTAGTCCAACCCCCTGCTCCAAGCAGGACAACCCCAACTAAATCATCCCAGCCAGGGCTTTGTCAAGCCTGACCTTAAAAACCTCTAAGGAAGGAGATTCCACCACCTCCCTAGGTAACCCATTCCATTATTATATGCGGCTCAGGGGGCAGTAAGTTTGGCCACCCCTGTCATAAACCATAAATCCAGTGTGAGCGTCTCTATTCAATCCATGATTTGTAGTGTTTAGTAAAGTTATGAATTTAAGTATAACGTACCTCCCCGAGAGGCGGTAGTTAGGTCAATGGAAAAATTCTTCCCTCAACGTAGCCCTGTCTACACGGGTTTAGGTCGGTTTAACTATACAGCTCTGGGATTTAGACTCCTCCCCCCCCACCCCACCCCCGAGCAATGTAGCTGGGTTGACATAAATTTAGGTGTAGACCACGTCTCAGTCTCTGCCTCTTGGACTGCGACTGGCCCCATCAGTGGTTGTGCTGCTGGTGATTTATAATAATCATTGTTCAAACAACACTAAAATCTCATGGCAAAGTGTCGGAAAATGGTACAAATAAAATGAGAGTGTCCTGGCAAATGGTCCTTTGTCTTATGAAGTCTCCAATAAATCCGCACTACATCCTGTAAAACAAAACTAATATCCTACTATGGGATCAAACGGCCTTCAGCAAATAGAGAACAATCCACAATACAGGGTGGACTATAAGACACTCCCGGTTCATATAAATCAACATCCCAGAGCATGTTCCAGATGATTCAAAATCAGGAGAACAGATTTACTCATTTTCTCCTCTGAACTGTCTACACCTGTCCCATTCGGAGCCTCCTTATATGGTCATGTTACTTACAAAAGTTTTAACGTCATCCTAATGAAAGGAGAAAACCCAAACTCCCATCTGAAAACAAACAGCTGGGCAAGAAAAAGGCCAGAAGCTGCTTTACCCACAGATGGAAACTGGGATTTAGGGTCAGAACAATCACACTGTCTTTGGGATTGACTCAAATTCCGCCTCCAGGTCTGCGACACGTTCATCTCCAGACCTTAGGAGTCTGATTTGGTGGGGGTTGCTTGCGACCAATGTTCCCTCTAATTTTTTCCATCCGTGTGCGGAATGAATTTTGTTATGTGCATCAAATTTCCGAGGTAATGTGCGGATGTGTGCCACCAGTAGAAACAAAAAACCTAGAGATAATATATATAGTTTTAAAAAGTTACCATAGGGATAATTACTCCAGCCAGGATATTAGGCATTTTAGAACTCACTACTCAAAGAATTAAATGTAAGCGTAAGAGAGAAATAAAAATTATGACATGCACAGACCAGTCAAAAAACTCAGACAACAGCACTTTGAAAGAATAAAATTACAGAGAATATATGTGCATTGCAGGAAGTATCAAGAAGTAACAATAACAACAATAATACAAGTATGTGTTGGGAGGTGAGTGTGAAAAACAGTGTGTGTGTGTGAGAGAGACAGAGACAGTGTGTGCGCGTGTGAGGCAGAGACAGTGTGTGTGCATGAGACACTGCGTGTCTGAGAGACAGAGACACACTGTGTGTGAGAGAGAGACAGACACACAAGTGTGTGTGTGTGTGTGTGTGTGTGTGTGTGTGTTTGTGTGTGTGAGACACGCCTTGCCCCTTTAAGTATGTTGCCCTTTTAGGTAGATTGGCACTCAAAACAGACACAGCAGCAGCCACCAGCAAGCTCCCTCCGTCCCACTCCTGAGCACTATCGCATTCTTCCCCCCCACTCCCGCTCTGCAGAGATGGGGTACAGGAGCATGGGACACCCTGACATCAATGCCCCCCCTCCCCGCCCGCTCTGCATAGCAAGCAGGAGGCTCCTGGGAGCAGCTCCAAGGCAGAGGGCAGGAGCAGGGTGACAGTGTGGGGAGGGGCACCTGTAGTGTGCGGCACTTGATAACTTGCTGGGTGGCTGCGCAGCTTACAGGGAACTTAGATTGGGACCATTGTATAAATGAGATGCTGGGGGTTGGTCTAGACTAGAAGTGGTGGAGGTTTGGTCCAGGTCAGGGATAAACGTGCCAGCTACCAACCCTGACCAGTTTTCCTGCTCTAGACAACTCTCGGCGGCAGAAAGGCCCCTCGGCCCAGCAGCCAGGGCTGCAGCAGGGAGGAGGGGCTGTGACGTGTAAAAAGTTCTGAATGAAACATTTCCCACATTCAAAGCATCTCTGCGTTCGCTGTGGATCCTCTGCCGTGAAATAAGAACTGAACTCTGAGTGAACCTCTTCCCACAATCCAGCCATTTATAGGCACGATCTCCAGCGTGGGTTCTCTGATGTGTATTAAGTGGTGACTTGTCACTCAACTTTTTCCCCACAGTCGAGGCATTTATGGCGATTTCTCCCATGTGGATTCTCTGGTGCCTAGTCAGGTTTGAACTTTTTCCCAATAGGGTGTTTCTCCTGAACGGATTTGGTGATGCACAAGACGATGTGAGGGATGAATAAAGCTTTTACAGGGTTTATCTCCCATGTGGATTCTCTGATGTCCCATAAGGCGTGACTTGTCACTAAATTCTTTCCCACACTCAGGGCATTTATAAGGTGTCTCTCCTGTATGGATCCTCTAATGTCGAATTAGGTTTGACTTATGATTGAAATTTATCCCACACTCCTGGCATTTATATGGTTTCTCTCCCATGTGGATGCTGTGCTGTGAAATAAGACCTGAGCTCTGAAAAAAAGTTTTCCCAGAGTAAAGGTATTTATAGGGCTTCTCTCCTGTGTGTGGGTTCTCTGATGTATACTAAGGTGTGCTTTGTCATTAAACGTTCACCCACTGTCAATACCTTTATAGGGTCTCTTTCCAGGGTGGGTTCTCTGATGAGTATTAAATTGTGCTTTACCACTAAACATTTTCCCACAGTTGAGGCATTTATGAGGTTTTTCCTGCCATGTGGGTGTTCTGGTGTCTAGTCAGGTTTGAACTCTGACTGAAGTTTTTCCCGCAGTCAGGGCATTTATAGGGTGTTTTTCCCGTATGGATTCTCAGGTGCACACTAAGATTTGAGCTTTGAAGGAATCTTTTCCCACATTCCAGGCACTTATAAGGTCTCTCTCCTGTGTGGGTTCTCTGATGTGCCGTCAGATCTGAGCTCCAACTGAAACTTTTCCCACACTCAGGGCATATATAGGGTCTCTCTCCTGTGTGAGTTCTCTGATGTGCAATTAGGTATGAGCTCTGATTGAAACTTTTCCCACAGTCCAGGCACTTGTAGGGTTTGTCTCCAGTGTGGGTTCTCTTGTGTCTAGTAAGGAGTGAGTTCTGATTGAATCTTCTCCCACAGTCAAGGCATTTATAGGGTTTCTCTCCCGTGTGGAGTCTCTGATGAATAATAAGGGCTGAACTGTCACTAAATGCTTTCCCGCAATCCAGGCATTTGTAGGGTTTCTCTCCTGTATGGTGCATCTGATGTCTAACAAGCTGCATGTTCCAATCAAAACTTTCCCCACAGTCAAGGCACTTATAGGCTCTTTCTCCTGTGTGGGTTCTCTGGTGTGAAATAAGATCCGAGCTCTGAATGAAGCTTTTCCCGCACTCCAGGCATTTATAGGGTTTCTCACCCGTGTGGGTTCTCTCGTGCCTAAGAAGATGTGAACCCTGAATGAAACCTTTCCCACAATCAAGGCACTTATAGGGTTTCTCTCCCGTGTGGATCCTCTGATGTGAAATAAGATGTGCGGTCTGGCTGAAACCTCTCCCACAGACAAGGCACTTATACGGTTTCTCTCCAGTGTGGATCCTCTGATGGGAAATAAGATGTGACCTCCTAATAAAGCTTTTCCCACACTCGGTGCATGTGTTTTTTCTCTCTTTTGTAGGGATTCTCTGCTGGGCTGTGGTTTCCTTGAGGTCCTTGCAATCTCCACCATCATTTATGGGTTCACACGTTTTCTTCCCTGGGTCATATCCCAGCAGCCTCGCCGACCTGCGCTGGTTTTCGCAGGTTTTTCCTGGTTTATGATTCTTATAAAAATTCTGCTTGGATCTTCCCAATACCGTTCCCTGCAGACCCACGTCCTCACCACCTTCCCGCTGTGGATTCTCCTCCTCGTTCTCACTCATCATCCCAGCACGCCCTGGAATACAGAGAGAGAATCCAGACAGGAGTCATCCCCCGTGCTGGGGAGGAAGGAACGAAAGGGGAACAGCAAAGAGGGGAAAAACAACACAACAACCACTGGGGAGACTGAGAAAGGGAACATTTACTAATCCCTCTGTAAATTTTCCTTCTCTGAAGTGGGTCCCTCGTGCGCCAGGATCCATTAGAACTGGGATATTCCTCCTCATCTTCCAAGCATGGAGACTCCTCTGTTTTTTGAAGCCCTCTCGTTCTACCTTTACACTGTACAGCGTCAGGTACAACAACGGCACCACAGGGTGAAGCCAGAAACAGAGGTTTTGAAAATAAATTAAAGAAAAAAATGGAGCCTCCATGCTTGGAAGAAATAACTTACTTGTAACAGACAACACGGAGCACCAAGAGAAATTGGATTCTGCCTCCAGATCCCTTCCAAACACCCAGGGGGAAGTAAAATCTGGGGACGGGGAGCTCCTGCCAGATCTCAGTCAGCGTGGGTGGGTGACATCTGCCCCGTGGATGGAGCTAGTCCCAGGAAGTGAGGGGAACAGATATGAATGAATACAGATAGGACAATACAATGCTTCTGCCGCTCTTTTTAGGCACTAGCTCTAGCAGAATTAGTGCATGTACATCTACCCGAGCTGGGAATCACACCACCCAGATGCTGTGTAGACGTAACCTAAGGGAATTGGGAAGAACCTGAGTAGAAGCGAAACTGGCTACATCACAAACCCCCACCCCCGCTTCTAATAACCGAGGGGACAGGTATCCCTTACCCAGCGAGGTCACCGTCTCGTAGTTGTCCTGCATGACGTCCCTGTAGAGGGCTCTCTGAGCAGGGTCCAGCAGAGCCCCCTGCCCCTGGGTGAAATACACAGCCACCTCCTCGAAGGTCACCGGCATCTGAAACAACAAGAGTCCCCCACTCAGCACCTGCTGCTCCAGCTACTATCCCGCTATTCATGGGGGAGGAGGGCCGATAAAATGGAAGCTCTTGGGAGGAGGGGGGAGAAAGGGTAGCAGAATCCCACCCTCACCCTACTCAGAGCAGCTAGGAGGCTTCAGGAGGGGAGAAAGAGAGAGCTCCTTGTCCCTCCCAGGAGGGAGGAGAGCAGGGGCCTTCATGTTTATCACACACTTACTAACCAGAGGCTGATAGAGGAGGTGGAGCCCCTCAACAGAGTCAAGGGACAGGAATCCCAACCCCCTCCCCATTCCCAGCAGCTGGGAGTGAGGGGACGGGGGCTCTCCCCTGGGCCTCACTGCTGGGTGCCCCCTTTGTATTCCACAGCAGCCTCTGCATGGTGGCATTCGCAGCTGAGACTGACCAAGTAGAGATAGGTCCCTTTGAGAGGCAGGAGTGTATGCATAGGCGCCGACTCCGTGAGTGCTCCAGGGCTGAAGCACCCATGGGGGAAAAATGGTGGGGGCTGAGCACCCTTTGGCAGCCCCCCATTAGCTCTCCCCACCCCTCCAGTACCCCCTGCCTACCGGCAGGCCCCACGGATCAGTGCCTCCCCCTCCCTCCCCACACCTGCCGCAATCAGCAGTTTCAAGGCGTCAGGAGGCTGGGGAAGAGTGGGGGGAGGAGTGAGGACGCGGTGCTCAGGAGAGGGGGGTTAGAAGAGGCGGGGCAGGAGGGGAGTGGGAAGACGCAGGGTGGGGGCAGGGGCTTGCGGGAAGGGGTAGAGTGGGGGCAAGGTCTGGGGCAGAGCTGGAGGTCGAGGAACCCCCGGCACTTTGGAAAGTCAGCACCTGTGGGTGCATGACCCACCCCTCTCCTCAGCATTTCCTGTTGGCTAGCTCTGGCAGCTCCCCAGTCAGCATGTTTTGTGGATCCCATTTTTCGGTGCTTAGCTCTGCCCAGGGATAATATAGGGAGCCTGGGAGCCTAACTCAGGGCTGCGGTTTCCACTGGGAGGCAGGGCACCTAAACATTACGTGCTGCTATGCTGATCATTGTAATGCCTAAATCCCTTTGTACATCTTGCCCTCGTTGATTTTCCCATCAGTATCTGGGAGACACTGGTTCCCTACATGGGGGAGGCTTAAAGAAGGAGGAAACAATTTCCTTCTCACATATCATGGAGAGTTGATCATTGGGGAGTTTAATCCCCCACCCACCCACCCACCCACTCACTCACTCACTCACTCACTCTCCATTTGGTGTTAGGGATTTTTGAGGCCAAACGGAAAAGAGAACATTGAATTTAGAAAATCTTGTCTGACCTCCCATATGATACAAGCCAGAGAAATTCGTCCAGTTACTCCTGCATTGAGCCCAGTCACTTGTGTTGGACTAAAACATGTCTATCGGAAAGGCATCTTGAACTCAAGAGATGGAAAGTCCACCACTTCCTTTGGTAGTTTTCTGCAGTACTTAATCACCCAGTTTTCCTTTTGAATTTCACTGGCTTTATCTTCCAGCCATTCATTCTTCTCATGCCTTTCTCTGCTAGAGTCTAGAGGCCTTTAGAGTATGTGACATTTTCCCCTTGTAATGAAATCAGTGACTCAGGACAATATTTCTCCAAAACTAAGAAAATCTTATATAATACAAAAATTAGAGTGCAAACATCAGTGAATGTTGCGATTTTATATCACTATTTGACAATTGAGAGAGAAAATTAGGGAAATAGGAAAGGATTGATTTCAGCTAATTAGAAAGGGAGACGGCAAAATCTATTTTTTTTCTTTATAGTGGGTATTTAGAGAAAAATAAGGAAAATATTTATGCAGATAATATGTTAATTAATAAATAGAAAGAGGACAAAATTTGAAAGGATTTTACATAAAAATCTGGGAAGTCAGAAAAAGGAAAAAATTGGAGTGGTTACACAGGAATATTATATTAATGGAGAGAAAAGGGGCTAGACTAGTGGTGATTTATTTATGTATTATTTTATGTATGATTTATGCTAGATTTATCTACAGGATTGGCAGAATGTGATTATTTTTTATCATTTCAATAGTAATATGAATGTTTAGTTTTACGGATTTATTTTCAATTGTTATTGATTTACATTTTTGCAGTTGTGGGAAATTGTGGGGCGGATCAGACAACAATTACTTAATGACTGTAGATATTGAGAATTGAAAAAGTTAAAGCTTTACAAATCTTAAACACACGCAGTCATGATCACATGTCAAAATATACCAAGTAAATATCTTTAAATCAAACTCTAAGAAATTCTATAGCAGCATTTTATTCATTTGCCTATCTGTACATTTCCTTATTTCGGATGGAAATCTTTTTTCACCCACCCTTTGTGTGTCTATGGAGAAACTGACATTTACCCACATTTATGACAAAAATCTCATCCTTCCAAGCCTTTGTATGTAGAAGAGAAACAAAATTTGAGCAGCTTGATCTCACTATAACGCCCCCCCCTACAACACCAGTAGCAGGTTATCCAGGCTGCCTGGCACATGGGCATTAGGATACAGTCTGTGAGCGGGTCACACTCTGGGCTGTTCAGTAGACCAGGATCCTGCCCCCGTTCAGAGCAGGTGTCTCTGATGGAGCAAACAGGGCCCAGCAGCAGTTCAGTGCTGGGGAGATTCACCCATCGCTGGGGCAGGAAGGGGCCTGTCTCAGGGGAGGGAGGGGCTCGGAGGTTTGTAGCGGGGTTACATTTGCAGGTGAACAATAACCTCCCCCTCTCCCCCATTTCAGTCTCATTTCTCTCCCCTCCCTGATAACCCAGCCCCAGGGACACAACAGGGAACCTCCTGGGGCCCGCCCACGCCCCCCCCCCAGCCGCTCTCCCCCCTGCCTGAACCCCCAGCTGGCCCCGGGAGCAGATCCTGGGCAGAGCCCGGGCGGCGACTCGCTGCTGGGGCCGCAGCTCCGGTCCCTCCGCCAGGCGCTTCCCAGCCAGGGAGCAGCTGCCCGGGGCGGCGAGATCTGGGGCCGCTTGGGCAGAGTCACTTTCCTGCCCGGCCCCGGCCCTTCCCCCGGGTCCCCCCATCACCTGCAGGCTCCGGCTCGGGGCTGGGGCGGGCAGAGCCCGGGGCGGGGAGGGGGGTTAGTGCCGGTCTCGCCCCGCACAGACCCCGCCGGGGAGCAGCAGCGGCTCAGCCCGGGCTCCCGGCTCACAATGGAGGATCTGACCCGGGAAGGTAAACAGAGGCCGAGCGAGCGCAGCCCGGCCCCTCCCAGCACGAACCGGGGCCCTGTGGGGGCAGCAGCGACGGACCCCCCCGCCCCACACCCCGCTCAGCCGGGGGGGCCCCGCCCGAAATCCCTCCTCGCTCCCTATAGAGACCGGCCCAGCCAATCCCACCCACCGCCCGGGTCACTGAGAAACGCGCCCCCGGCAGCTCTGCCGTGGGGGGGAAGCTGGAAGTGAAGGGAGGGTGCAGCAGGGGAAGCTGGAGGGGGTATTTGGCAGCTGTAGCATTTCAAGTGTAGCCAGACCCCAAGTGAATCGCTTTGTACTGTGTCAGACCCTAGCCCTGCATGAGAGCCAGAGCATTCCAACTAAAACCCCATGTCTTCTCCCCACTGCTTTTCTCCCTTTCTTCAGGCCAAAGACAGCGGCTGCAGTAGATTGTATCAGCCTAAAATAAAAAATAATACTTAAGGTTTGTTTACACTAGGATTTTAGGGGGCAACTGGGGTTTCTAGGCATTGCATTTCAAGGCCCCTAAATACCCTTGGAAAAGCAGTGACTTTGCAAAAGGTTTAGGGGTCATGATGGACAAGCAACTCAGCATGAGTTCCCAGTGTGATGCTGGGGCAAAAAGGGCTAATGTGACCCTTGGATGTACAAACACAGGAGTGGGGAAGTCATTTTACCTCTGTCAATGGCACTGGGGAGACCAATACTGAGATAGCAAATACCGTTCTGGTATCTGCACATTAAAAAGGATGTTGAAAAATTGGAAACAGCGCAGAAAAGAGACGCAAACCTGATCTGAAGTCTGGACAAAATGCATTCCAGCTTATACTGCATGCGGGGGTGGATTTATTAAGCCGAGAGGAGAGCTGTCTCCTGGCGGCATAGAGCGTCTTCACCAGATGCGCTGAATTGGTGCATCTGCACTGCTGTAGCACCTCTAGTGTAGTAGACTAGCTCTCACTTTGGCCGTGGTGATGGGGGTCAGCCTGGCTTCAGGGCTGAAGAGGTCTGTGGACTAGTTCCCTGGCTTCCTTCTTGGCTGTGATCTGCTCCTCTGTTTGTTCAGTGCCTAGCACAAGGAAGACCCTTTCTCCGTGGCCCCTTAAGCTGTAATGAACATGATTCATAATAATACTCAGCCTGGTCCTTTCAGCCTGATCCTTTCGTAGATCTTTACTATTCATAAGAACGTAAGAGCGGCCATCCTGGGAAAGACTAAAGGTCCATCTAGCCCAGTATCTTGTCTTCCAACAGTGGCCAATGCCAGGTGCCCCAGAGGGAATGAACAGAACAGAATCATCAAGTGATCCATCCCCTGTCGCCCATTCCCAGCTTCTGGCAAACAGAGGCTAGGGAGACCATCCCTGCCCATCCTGGTTAATAGCCATCGATGGAGCTATCCTCCATGAATTTATCTAGTTCTTTTTTGAACCCTGTTATAGTCTTGGCCTTCAAAACATCCTCTGGCAAAGAGTTCCACAGGTTGATTGCGCATTGTGGAACTCAGGGATGGCTTCACACAACACTTGCAGGGTAGTTCCTGTCTCTATCAGGCCCCAGTGCAGCAAGTTAACAGTTCTCAGCCTCAGCTGTCTGTCTCTCAAGAGAAAACCCTGCGGTTTCCCAGGTCTGCGTCTCCCACTTCCTACACTCTCCCCGCTCCTGACCGGATCTCACCTCATTG